ATATATATATATATATATATATATATATATATATATATATATATATATATATATATATATATATATATATATATATATATATATATAGAGTGTGTGCATATGCCTTAAGAAATGTATAAAATAACAATGGAGAAGAGTTTCTTATTTTACTATTGAATTTTTTTCCACTTTACAGTTTATAGAAATCATATCTTATTGAAATGTAAGGAAATAAACAAAAAAATCATAGCCAAAATTTAAAAAAAGTATATACAGTATGAAAAAGTTATTACATCGGCTTATTGATTGCATTGATGATATTCTACGTCTAGGGAACACATAGCCTGGTATCGAGTTTCTTGGGCCACCTTTTCTATTACTGTACTGTATTTACAGCAATGACAAATTTTTTGGTAAAGTTCTACCCTTGCAGGAACAATAGGTTCTATAAGTTGCCACAGCAAAAGTGTTATGAAACCTTAAATCAAAGTTCAAAGTATGTAGACCAGACCACACACTAGAAGGTGAAGGGACGACGACGTTTCGGTCCGTCCTGGACTATTCTCAAGTCGATTGAATCGACTTGATCATTCTCAATCAACTTGAGAATGGTCCAGGACGGACCGAAACGTCGTCGTCCCTTCACCTTCTTGTGTGTGGTCTAATCAACATACTTTAGCCACGTTATTGTGACTCATCGCCTTCAAAGTATGTAACTTTAGTAATTTGGTTGTGCAGGAAAGTAAAGTTCTTAATTGATAATTACAATACAGTAGCCTACCTATATATTTTTTATCTTGGCTTAGAGGTTAGTCAAATGTATAATTTTCCTCGAAGCTCTACATGCATTGGGAACAAAAGATCATTAATTTCCATATATTTTTTATGCACTATGTACCTCAACATCTTAGAAATGGGTAGCTGCTGCACATATAATTTAATATCAAGATTCTTTTTGCAGGGTTTGGCCACGCAATGTTAAACTCACTTGCCTAAGTATACTGTACAGGGATTGTGCCTTAGCTCAGAGATATATGTGTGTGAGTGGCAGAGGGGTTCGCCTGCTGCTGCTCCTCCTCCTTCAGAATGTAACAAAAACTTAAAAATACTATGCAACGACAGGTATTTTATATATAACGAATTTCGTGTTTGACTTTAAATTTGAAGAATAGTAAACCAATTTAATGCTGAAGTTATTATATGGCTATTTTCTGTCATATAATACTGTCAATTTTGGGTAATATGGAAGTATAGGCATAAATTTGCTGTGATTTTGACACCACCTAATTGGTCCAATTGACTGTACCACCATCTGTGTTAATGTACATTGAATTACTTGTGAATGGCCTACATGCACCCCTTCTTAATACATGGAAGACAATAGTTAATGTACAATGTCATTTTCTGCAGCCTGTTATGTACAGTACAGTATATCCAATTCACATAATTACATTTATTAAATTACTATAAATGTAATAAAGAATATACATTCTTAATGAGTGTGTAACAATAATGTGAATTTCAAAATCTAAATTTCAATACCAGGACAAGAATACATATCTATTGAATAACTGCACCATTGATTGATAGGTTTATACAGTGCCTCTTACTTTTTAGGATGGATTGATTGGAGCTACAATTCTGAAAAAAAGGGCAGCTTATAACAGTTCGTATGTCATTCAAAACATAGTCGTGAAAATCAACATTACCTCAATAAAAGGAAATCTTAGAATAATGATGAGTTTTGGAATTGCAAGAAATAATTCTAGCCAATTTAAATGTTGACTCACTTGAACCGCCTTGTTTTACACACCTACAACACACACTGTTGTTAAAGCATGTGTGAGACTGTATTGTATCTAATGTGTGTTAATTTTTCTTTTTTCTTTTTTTTTTGCATAGCAAATGTTATTAGTAACTTGTGTAGGCCTACTCTTTCATAATTGTTTCAAGAATTATTTGATATTTATCATAATAGATCAAATCACTGTCGGACACATTTAGTTAAAGATCATGATAATGTTTAGTAAACAATAGATGCAACAGAAGTACTTGGATTTTAATTCAATACAAATTGCATTTCAGTATATGATGTGAAATTGCTAAAAATTATATACAACTCCTGATGGTTATTTCTCAAAATTATTGTGGTGTCTGTCAGTTCAGAAAGTTGCATAGCCAGTAGTAGTATACACATTATATTTTTTTTTTTTATAATCGGTTAGTTTTCACGAATATTCAGAGATAGTCTTTTAATTTGCGTTTTTCTGATACAATCACAAGTAAACTTTCCGAGTTAGTTATCTTGCTTCTGTGTTTGATTTTGTTTCCAGAATACAGTATCCTCTGTATTTTAACCCTTGCACTGCTCACCTATTTTCGGCAAAAACGTCTTGGTGCAATTGTCAAGGACATATTTTTGTTATTTTTACAAATGTTCAGGTAAATTTAATGTCAAAATGTTTCCAAAGTCAACTATTTCCATTTCAAAACACAAATAGTAATGAAAACATTAAAAAACATTAAAATATAGCCAAATTAAAAAACAAAAAGCACAAATCTCTGAGCGCCTAAAGGTGCTTTGCGCAGTGCAGTGGTTAAACCCTATACTAAAATTTTCCCCCCAGTCCTTATACTGTAGTTTTGTATAAAATGATGATAATAGTAGCAATAGCAATATTTTTTAATAAAAGGCAGTTGAAAGTGAAAACGAATATTATGCATACAGGGAAAAAATGCATTTTGCCCACTATAGTACAGTATGGACCTAAACATTAAGGTTGCTTAGTATATTTAGTTTTTATGATTGCTTTGATGGGGTACTGGTGTTGCCTGTCGCTGTGATTGCTAGCCACTACTCTCATTATTCAGTGAATAACGTTTGGTAAGAATTGCTTTGTCAGTAAATAACAATTGGGAGGGAGAGGCATCTCTATTAATGGCATTCACGTAAACCTCTCTCTCTGCTAAAGCAGCGTATAATCTAGTTCTCGTAAAGTTATATTCAAATTTGTATACGGCTACTGTATATTGATAGTTCTGTAAAGTTACATGCATATTCTAGCTGTTGGCAAAGTATATTTTTAGAGGGGAAAACTCTTAAGTTACTTTAAAGGTCAATTCTAGTGGGTGGAAAGTAATTTTCAAGCTGTACTGTAGATGCTCAGCATTTCAGTTAGCAGAAAAATAATCTAGCTTTAATTGTATTCTAGTTGTGCAAAATTATTAGTGCTACAAGTTCTATTTTGAAGCCAAGTCTTAGCCAGTGGAACACAACATAGATTTTGTATAGCTGTTGTAAAGCTGTCATAATAGTTTTAAAGCTATGTTTTAATCATTGTAAAGCTCTAGCTAACAACAAATGCCCTTGCAGGGGGGGTAGAAATAGCCTAAGCTACTCTATCCCTTTGAGATGTATTTCTTGCTTATCTCAATAAACATACTTGAACTTGAATGCCCTAGCAAAATTGTTCTCATTGTAAAAGTTCATTAAAAAATTTCAGAACCCTAGCAAGTGAATAAGAAAGCAGTATTTGTAATTTCTTCGTGTGTGTAGATTACCGTATGTGGTTGATCATTATGGGCTTTCAATACTTTTTTTTTTTCCATGCACATCTGGCTATAAGACTTTAAAATAGGTGGGCAGTTTGAGAGTTAAAGAACAGGTGTACAAGTAGCAAGACTAACCAACTTTATTATTCTGCTGGATGATGCTATGATGAGCGCCAATATTATAATTATCCACAAATTTTAGTTCAACAGCCGATGGTAAAGTTCTGAATTTTATTTTTGTTTTTATAGTAAATGCCGATACAAACAATTACTGTACGTTAATATCAATTCTCTTTCATAAAGATTGGGATGAGTTTTTCCGAACTTCTTACTTTATAATATTTTCTAATTAACAAGAAACATAGCTCGGCAAAACAGCCGTCGGTATATTTATCATTACTTCATATGATACCTCATGTGAACAGTTTACCATTCTCTCACTGAAGACTCCGCTATAAGATTAAGCGCTTCAATATTATTATTACAATGATGGATTGGCTCATTTTGATTTGTTGTACTTTTTAACTGTATGCTTATTATAGCTCAGAAACTGCTAGCTTGATGGGTGAAGCCATGCTACACTGCTTGCTATCTGAGAGTGCTTTAAATGAACTCTATTTCAAGTGTGTTATCCTCAGTTTGCCAGGCTCTTTTATCATTTCAACAGCATATCATGCAGGCTGAACATGTGCCGCAGATCAATCAAAGTCATATATATATATATTTCAAGCAACAGTAAAGATGATAGACTTTGAATTTTTTAAATCTGCTAGTGTTTACAGTGCCATTTTTCTCTGTTACCAACACTGGGGCATGAACCTTCCCAATGTTTGACATTGAATTGAGTGTTTGATAGCAAATTCCCTTAATGTATGTGACTGTATATTGCATTCAACTTTTGTTTTTGGTTTTTATTAACCTCTGGAATGTTCATTTTATTTATTTTTTTTTAAATTTCATCATATAGGCCTAAATGCTTCTTATTTGAGGAGTGTATTGTGCATCTTTTGATGATTTACCCTAATTTGATAAGGCAGTCATAGTTTGATATATATATATAAATATATATATTGATAATGCTGGGAACAACAGACAAATATTTGAATATATTCAAATAACTTTAATTTAATACTGTATAAAAGTGATAAAGAATACCACCCCTAAAATTCAAGTACAGTACCCCCGCTTGTCCCTTTCATAATAACTAAGCCACTACCACTAATATTAAAGATGTAGAAACTTTTTTGGACTATATGAATCTATTTAAAGTCACTATTATTATCTTTCATGAATATGAAGACCAATATTTCTGGAGCATCTGATCTGTGCCTCAACTCTTTACATAATAGTCTTCTCTTGAGTCTTATCCTGTTGTGTCCTAATTATACTTTTCCCAATTCATTAATATAAATTTTTTGTAATATCTTGGTTCAGTTTAATTACAAATAGCCAAATTGGTAATGCCCCAGGTGCTGTACTACTCTACATCACTGTTCACTGCTGCGGGTCTGGAGGAGTGGCAGTCAAAATATGCAACCCTAGGTGTGGGGTCAGTTATGGTCATCATGACCTTGGTATCGATTCCACTCATGGACCGTGCTGGCCGACGAACACTTCACCTCTATGGTCTTGGAGGAATGTTTATCTTCTCAATCTTCATCACCATTAGTCTCCTTATCAAGGTATGTCAAGGACACTGTGCTTTGGAGTGTTGTATAGTTAGACCCCACTTTTAATTTACTTGGTTTTATTTTAACCTGTATAGTTAATAATGACTATTGTTTAGTACAGTTGTCATGATTAGAAATTTGGGCACATTTCCTTATATCTGATGTCTCTGTTCACCTAGCAGGAAACAGGTACTTGAAAGCTAGGCAAATATTGAGTTGCATCCTCTGAGCAGTCAGTTGTTGGCCCAAGGACAAATTTCCTGTTCTCGACATGAAAAACACTGGGATTATTGGGTTATTGTATCCAAGCATAGAGCATGTGGAATGACCTTCCCAACCATGTTAAAGACTGTACCTCTCTCAACCAGTTTAAGTTAAATGTGAAGCTATACCTAATAAATTCCCTGTAACCTACCTTACCCTTCTATTGTCAACCAATGTCTGTTTTTTTCTTTAAAGAGCGCTGTTTGTCGACATAATTGTATTTGTGCTGCTTTTTCATCTATGTTTTCATTTCTTGTTTTCATTCTACTCATTATGCTCAATTAGTATTAAGCTTGTCATTTAAGTTTATCATGCCCGAAACGCTTTGCGTAATAGTGGCTTTAGGCATTGTATGTACTAGCTCTACCTATAAGTCAAACAATCCTTGTAAATATTTATTGTATGTATGTACCTTACCTAAATAAAATTGTATTGTATTGTATTGTATTGTATAGACGTCATGTTCAGAAAGACATAGCGGGTTTGGAGAAAGTGCAACAACAGGCAGCCAAAATCATTTCAGAACCAAGTTAACTCTCATACCAGAAACGATTGATGGCCACAGAACTAACACTGCAAACCGGACATGACAGGGCAGATCTCATCGAAACTTTTAAAATACTGAACATTTGAGGAATGGTTTATCCAGACAATTTCTTCAAAAGGTCATCAAAACAAACAAAGAGCAATGGTTTGAAGCTTAATAAGTCACAATGTAGGACTGAGAACTGAAGATGATTTTTCACCCACTGGGTTCGGTTATAAACCCATGGAACCACTTACCCACTGAAGCTGTAAATGCCAAAACTCTGCTGAACTTTAAAATCCAATCTTTAAAATCTGGAAAAAATCATCAGGACGAATGGGGAGACCTTTGAGAAGCCGCTGGCTTCCTGTCTTCTTCGAGGCCACTGGAGTGTTAGTGGCTCTCAGGTAAATTCACGTATAACCACACAACTTTATAAGGGAACCAAACCTTCAGAGTAATCAAGAGTAACTTTATCTTCAAGGAAGAGAAAGTAATCATTCAATTGTACAAGTCTCTGGTGCATCCCCACATTTATTGCATCCCCAATATGCAATAAATGTGAGGGTGGGATGCAATAATCCCACATGGATTATTGCATCCAGTCATGGAGACCTCATCTTCAGAAAGATATACCTGCTCTGGAGAAGGTGCAACACTGGGCAACAAAAATCATACCAGAGCTTAGTCATCTCTCGTATCAGGAACGATTGAGAGCCACTGGGCTAACAACACTGCAGACTAGGCATGACAGGGCGGATCTCATAGAAACCTTCAAAATACTAAACAAATTGGACGATGTAGATCCCGACACTTCAAAAGGTCAGTTGTAATACGAACAAGGAGCAACGGGTTCAAGCTCAACTAGCCCCAATGTAGGACAGAAAACAAATGTTTATGATGTTTAAACAGATGACCCATATGATTGTAAACCTGTGGAACGGTCTTCCTGCTGAAGTCATAAATGCCATAACCGCTAGGTTTTAAAATACAGATTGAAAAGATCATCAGGGCAAATGGGGGACCTTTGACAAGCCACCAAATTCCTGTCCTCATCGAGGCAACTAGTATTAGGGGCTCTCAGGTAAATTTATGTAAACTTTCATCTAGACAAGTCTTCTTTAGCAGGAGGGATATGGTCACCTTACCTGTTATTAGTACTGTACTGTATACAGTATAGGGAAGTTTAAGCATTTGCCGCACCATAGTGTGTCTGGGTAATGTGCAACATTAGGTAATGTGCAACATAACCGATTAGGTTACCTGTTAGTTTATGGACTTGCCCGAAATGCTATGGGTGCTAGTTACTTTACAAGAATATAAAATCAACTTCATTTCTATGTTCTGTTAACCCCCAATGTACCTTCTTGTATATAAATAAATAAATGAAATAAATAAATAGGTAAATGGGTGCTTTACTAAAAAGGGCGCCTGACAGCTGGGTGGACAGCACTTCGGATTCATAGTCCTGAGGTTCCGGGTTCGATCCCTGGTGGAGGCGAAGACAAGTGGGCAAAATGTTTCTTTCACCCTGATGCCCCTGTCACCTAGCAGTAAATAGATGCCTGGGTGTTAGACAGCTGCTACGGGCTGCTTCCTGGGGGTGGAGGCATGGTCGAGGACCGGGCTGTGGGGACACTAAGCCCCGAAATCATCTCAAGATAACCTCAAGAAATGCCTTTTCTCCTGGGGGAAAGTATTGTATATAAGTGTACATATAGGAGTTAAGGAAGGACTGAGAGACAGTACACTACTCAGCTGTGATATATATGGAAAGTAGTAGTGTGCTCAAGAGTTCAAGCAGTGGACAATGGTCTTTTTTCTTTTTTGGATATATAAAAGCTGCTGGTGTATTTGAAGTGAGTTTTGGATCTGCAGGGCATTGTCAATATCTTGTGGGATATCAAGTATTCATTGTTTTACTCTTAGGTGTTCCTTTACCAGCACTACAATTCTTTCGCCTTTTTTGTTCTTATTATCTCGTCTCTCGATTGAATAGCTCCCTCAGGAATACCACCTCATTTAGAATTTTCTCCTAGTTTTGTTGACCAGATCACACACTAGAAGATAAAGGGACGACGATGTTTCGGTCCGTCCTGGACCATTCTCAAGTCGATTCGGTCCAGGACGGACCGAAATGTCGTCGTCCCTTCACCTTCTAGTGTGTGGTCTGGTCAACATACTTTAGCAACGTTATTCTGACTCATTGCCTTCTCCTAGTTTTATTGCTAATGCAATACTCTCCATTATTTTCATCTGTATTTCCATAGTTGTAATTTATTATTTTTTTGTTTACAGGAAATGATGTCATGGATGACCTTCATCTCTGTGATAAGCACTCTTTGCTTCGTCATCTTCTTCTCTGTTGGTCCCGGCAGTATTCCTTGGATGATTACGGCTGAGCTCTTCTCCCAGGGCCCTCGGCCAGCTGCCATGTCCATTGCTGTTTTAGTGAACTGGCTCTCTAACTTTATTGTTGGCATTGGTTTTCCTAAAATGCAGGTAAGGGAGTACATAATAAGACTTGAAAAGTAAACTTATGTCAATTTAAGCTAAATGTGATAAAATCTAAGGTTAATTTTAGTAAACATTTAATGTAAATCATTTGAAAGTTTTGTAATATGTATAGGAAAAGTGGTGAGATGGATTATTTGTGATATACTGTATAGTTTTATTTTATATTATTGGTATGATTATTATATAGTAATTTATTGGGAGCTCATTTATTTTATTTACATTAATTTTAATAGGAATTCCATTCTCACATACTGGAGATCTTTAATTCAAATTATAGTCAATCACTACATAATCTGAATCAAACCGAATGCAATGTGTGAAATCGGTTAATAATACAGCATATGGTGTATTATTTTTCAGGAAGCATTTGAGAACTACACATTTTTGCCATTTAGTGTATTATTAGCGTGCTTCTGGGTCTTCACCTACTACAAAGTTCCAGAGACAAAGAACAAGACCTTCGAGGAAATATCGGCAATCTTCCAAAGAGGCGTTGATAGGTAAGCTGTGTTTTGTTGGAGTAGACTGATCAGTATGCTTGAGGAAATTAACAGTGCATAAATTGTTGGTTGCTGGAAACATTTGCAGATGGAGTGTTTTTTTTATGTTGCATAAAAGGATGAGGAATTATCTATGGTTGTCTATTAACATGAGCGGTATTAATTTAACCCTTGGACAGTGGCTAATGTCATATCTGCCTATGCATAAAAAATATAAAAAAAATAGTAAATTTTAGATTTGTTAATTTGTATGCAAAATGTATCAATCAGGACTTCCCCGCCCTATCGCGGCCAATATTAAGGAAAATGACGATGTTTTGGCTTGATAAGGGTCCTGGAAAGACCCAAACATTATCATCATCTTTTTGTGTATGGGGGCTAGATCATTAATTTTCCGCTACATTACTGGGACTTATTCTCTGCGTTACATAATTTGTTCATATTCTGTAACATGATGTCTGTCAATGCAGTTTCTTCATGATAAACCCTTTAATAGGTCAGCTAATTCCGAGTCCTACAGCACGGTGCACATGACACAAAATAGTTCATCAAACTAGTGTGAAAAAACACATTGTGATTCGAGCACATGAGATAAATCAGATTTAGCAGGAGCTATTTAAGGGTTAATGGTGTGTATCTGCTTCAGCCCCTTTGTTAGCACCTCACATCTATATTTGTATACATTATTCCAAGGAAGCTATTTCCTGATTCTTTTCCGTTTATCTTCCTATTGTTCACTCAATTATTTTTCATATTTCATGGGTCTCTCCCTTACATACCACTTCATCAGTTCCCTGAGCAATGTTAAGTATTTTTGTCTGTGTATAACACACATCCAAATGCACAGATATATACACACTAAGCAATTTAAAAGCTTCAAATGTGGATTAACACAGTGATTGTGACCGATACCTGTTCAGGCCGGGAGCCGAACCTTGGGAGCCGGTCGGCCGAGCGGACAGCACGCGGGACTTGTGATCCTGTGGTCCTGGGTTCGATCCCAGGCGCCGGCGAGAAACAATGGGCAGAGTTTCTTTCACCCTATGCCCCTGTTACCTAGCAGTAAATAGGTACCTGGGTGTTAGTCAGTTGTCACGGGCTGTTTCCTGGGTGTGGAGGCCTGGTCGAGGACCGGGCCGCGGGACACTAAAGCCCCGAAATCATCTCAAGATAGGCCAAAAATCAAAAGTTTGGGGAAATTTTCTGACATCTTGTTATATTGGAAATACTCTTCAAGGATGTTTGTTACTAGTATTAAGAAAATGGTACAAGATGCAGGTAAACTAAGATTTTTGCACCAGCTGAAACAATATCAATAGCCATGCATGTCTCTGATAATAGTTTCCTTGCATTACCAAAAATATTTTATATAGCTGTATATAATGCTTATTGTTTACTCATTATATAGACTTAGACTTCTATTTCCACTCTGTCCTTATAGTTTATATTTTTCAGTTTATTCTATTTGCCAAATGCATTTAGAAATTAATTTGTAAAGGTTTAATCTAGTAGGGTGAGGTTGGATGTCTGTGGCCCTAGAGAATCTCTATAGAGTTACAGTAATTCATTATGGTTAATACTAGGTAAATACATTATATAAGGTATTGGTTGCTTGGTGAGAGATTCTGAATGTATGCAAGGGGCTAGTTGTTTGGAGAGAGAGAGATTCTGAATGTGAGCCGTGCTGTCTGCTCGGGGAGCCGGTCGGCCGAGCGGACAGCACGCTGGACTTGTGATCCTGTGGACCGGGGTTCAATCCCAGGCGCCGGCGAGAAACAATGGGCAGAGTGTCTTTCACCCTATGCCCCTGTTACCTAGCAGTAAATAGGTACCTGGGTGTTAGTCAGCTGTCACGGGCTGCTTCCTGGGGGTGAAGGCCTGGTCGAGGACCGGGCCGCGGGGACACTAAAGCCCCGAAATCATCTAAAGATAACCTCAAGAAGGTGGGCTAGTTGTTTGGAGGGGTCAGATAAATTCAAGTAAAGTTCAGTACAAGTAATACAAATACTAGTCATATTGGAGCAGGAACACTGGGAACTGCAGGAACATATTTCAGAGGCTTCTCCAGATATCTGAGTATTTACATATTTTGTAATATTACAGGTTTTTAGAATTCAAGATTTTTTAAGCTTGCTTTATATTCATTGACTAAAACAAAATTATGATTTACTTTTACTTCATAATTTAACTGTTAACAAATATAAAATTTAATAAACTGTTAAAAATAATTAATGCACAGTTGTACATATAATATCTTTATTAACTTATTACCTGCAATATTTACAATTATTTTACAGTATTTGAGTTGTTTGTTTCAATTAACTTAGTTATTTTTATATTTTTGATGAAAGGATGATATGAATCTGATTACCATACTCACTACACAGGCTAGGGTATTGCTCTCAAATAATTGTCTGTTAGCAAAATAGCTTGAATATACGTCACTGGAAGAATGTTTATAAAATTGTGTGCGTTAAGACGATTAGTTAGCGGCATGGTGTAAATAATTAGATTTTTGACGTAAAAGTGTATAATGTGGTGTAGGTAATAAAAACTTAAATTAGCTACTATTTAAAATATACAATCCTAAATGCCAAAATATCTTGTTGAAGGCTACTTTAATTATGCAGATACAGTATTTAGAAATACAGTAACAGGTACCTGGTAGTTTATATAAACATGCTCAATATAGCTTCGTTACCATTATTCCAAGTTAAGACTAATGTTATTCTGAAGTTTTCGTTATCAGTGTAGATACTGTTCAGTACTGTACCATACTGTACAATACTGTACCATACTGTACACTACTGTACCATACTGTTCAGTACTGTACCATACTGTTCAGTACTGTACCATACTGTTCAGTACTGTACCATACTGTACTTTACAATAAAAGCCCAAACAGGTGTATGCATGCTGTCAGTTAATTCCCTTGGCTGCAACTAGACTTTATTCTACTTCAAATATTTGTAATCTAATCTTTATGACCCCACCTGACTGCATCTGACCTCATTATTTGTAATAATTATTATAAGTTAATTTGCAGGAGTAATTAGTAGCCTGTATAGCTAATTTTACATGAATGCAAATTGTTTGAGTGTTTAATTTACCGTTTCTCCAAATTTTCTGTTCACTTAGCATTAGTAATACCGGCCACAAATATTGCCAAATTGCTTGCAAATTATCATTGCATTTGGCTAATGTATTTGATGGTTTAACGAAATATTGTCTCGGTAATCGGCACTAATTGTGACCACCGTGTATTAATGGCCATGATTGACCGGTTGTCAATTAATGGCCGAGGTTGTCACTAATGTCTCCCCCCCTCTCTGCTCCTGCGTGTTTGCTGTAGACACACCGAGTATAATGGCATTTTGTAAGTGAGTGCGTGTTGTCTCCACCTTCATTTTATAAGCACAAACAGCTCCACTGCGCAACCACCTCACCCTAATTTAAGAGAGCTTATCACAGATCACGACAACCAAACTTGTCTTGGCCAAAGCCATCACTCTAAGCTGCCACTCTCTAAAGCACCACATCCATACCTGCTTTACGTAAAGCACTGCACTTGAAGCTGCCTTGACCAAAACCACCTCACTCCACGATACTTTATACCACTCTAACTCATCCTAAGGCATATTACCTCAGACCACTTCTTCTCGCGTCACCTGTCTAATCGTTCCTCAGCCCACGTTACCTTAACATAGGTCATCATGCCACTTACAACAACATCCTAAAAAGATCATATCATCATATCCTGTCATGTATCACCTCAGTTATAAGATTCACCCAAAAGTCATATGCAAACCTCATGCCAGGCTGCCCTCCACCTCATGCCAGGCTGCCCTCCACCTCATGCCAGGCTGCCCTCCACCTCATGCCAGGCTGCCCTCCACCTCATGCCAGGCTGCCCTCCACCTCATGCCAGGCCGCCCTCCATTTAATTAGAACAAAATATGCAGTGGCTAGATTAAAGCGTTTAAATGTCTCATGGGTAATGTACTTTTAAGAAGACCACTAATTTGTGCAACATTTTGGTTAAATCGTAAAACTAATACATCTCGCCTAATAAAGTTAAGGATTGTTAACATATCATTAATATATTGGGTATTTAAAGGTTTATGTAGTAAAACACAAGTTTAATTCTTAACGGATCTATAACTACAATTAATTAAATGTAGATCCTAGCACAGCCACTTAGTTGTTATCAGAGCCAGGGCCTATAGTCCATGCTGGACTCTTACATTTGACAGGTCTTGTCAGGGCCTTGTGGCAGCATTCTACCTAACAGGTGCATCAGGAGCTCTACTAAATCTAACATTTAGCCTGGTGTCCATCCAGTTGGATTCAACTAGCTCTGCCAAGCTGTTAATTTTATTTTTTATATTTTTTGAGACTTAGTCTCTGTGCAAGGGATAGTGTACCATATTTAGTATTTGCGTCACGTGTGGCGAAGTTAGTCATTAGTATGTCTGGATTCATCTACCACTTTGGAATTTTCAAAGCTTTCTTCTCTGGTGCTGTTTGTCAAAGGCTTTCAGTTTTCAGAGTTCTGTACTCTGTATGGAAGGCAGGTGGCAGACTTTCTCATGTTGTCTTCTGGCTTCCTCCTGTCATCAGTATGGTGGTGTTTGACTCACTCTCCAGGGTTGCTTCTGTGCCTCGTGTTTATTATGTCCGTTACCGTTTCTGAAGTTAGGTTGGATGTTCCTTCATCTCCATCCTTCTCATGCTCCACTGAAACCCTTCTGGTTCTTGAATGTGGTCCTCAACTTTTTGTTGGTCACTGTTCACTATGTGCAGCGAACTTCATGCTCTTATACAACATCACAGGCATCTGCAGTCTGGTCGGAGTGATAGATTTGATCGACTTCAGTCTTGTTCTTCAATCTCGGCTAAGATTAAGCTACCTAACTTTTGTTGGGGTTTTATTATGGTATGGGCCATGTGTTGTCATAGGATATTATCATGTGTTTGTCCTAGGCAGCATTTCACATTATAATTTGTACATCCAGCAATTTCCTCTTCTGATGCCCTTTTTCCTTAACCCTAGAAGAGTACTGTACTATGGTTCCTTGTGCAGAACAAAGGCAGACCCTTCTCAGCTGCACATCTAGTTCAGTTTACACAAGCTACTGCACATCCAACTTTTAAAGTTTCTTTGCCCTTTTTTTTAATTTATGAATTTTGCACTCTTTATCCATAGATTCTTTATAATTTTGGATGAATAACAAAAGAATTAGACATTTAATAGCAAGTCAACATTCATCTTATTTTCACGGTACCATGATTTATATGGTTTAATTTTTAAATTACGCCGTAATTGATATACTCTACGTAGAATAACCACATTGAAAGGAACAGAGTTGTGGTTATTCTGCATTTTTTGAGATCAGTGTACTGTACTTTGATTCTTTTCATCTTAGTCTGTATTTGGATGGCCCATGCATTGCGATTCTTTTGTTACAAGAGTTATTCTTTTATTAATTAGAATCCTCTTAGATTCACTTTGGTGTGGTTATTTGTATTGATTATCATCTTGGCAAAATATTCTTACCTTGCATAAGTATTTTTATGTACACATCTGACAATAGTAACCTTACTGTATACTGTACAGTATGTCGTGTAAATTTCTCGGCTCTTTCTCGTAATGTGACAAGTGTCGCCTTCATTGTGTATGACTGCAATACTAAATGATACAAATCTACACCAGCCCACCTAATTAACAAACATAAGAACATAAGAATCGAGGAAACAGCAGAAGGCCCATTGCTTTTGTGTGCCATACATGGCAGCTCCTATTTATTTTCATCCAAACTCATTCATATAATGTCCACCCAAACTCGTTCATATACGTGTCTAACTTACGCTGAAACAATCAAGGGATCCTACATCTACTATATTACCCGTTGATTGGTTCCACAAATGCACATCGTGTTACCAAACCAGTATATACCCAGGTCTGCCCTAACTCTGAACTTAACACTTAATTTATCTAGAACAGCATAAATTTCCTAAGCTTGTAGTCAGGGTATTTCATGGAAAGTTCAGTATTTTCAAAGATTGTATACTGTATTTTGTTAAAAGTATATACAATATTTCCAAAAGTTTATATATTTCTTAACCCTTAAATTGCGCATGGCATATATATATACGCCATAGGATGTCAGGCACGATTCAAATGGCCCGCGGCTACATGGGGGTTCACATCAGCTTCCTCAGGGCTCTTTTAAACAGATGCCATGTTTTAAAAAAATCGTGGGCAATATTCTCCGGTGTGAGAGCCATAGTACTGTAGGAGCAACCAAGGCTGGTGCACACAGCATGAGCTAACAGCATTGCTGTTCAGCTTGTGATCACAGCATCGCCTAAAAATGTCAAAATAAATATGTAACTGCTATTATTTAGCGATGACAGTATTACAGATGACCCCAGACTCTGATAAAAATGACCAGGATTATGATAATAGCAGGATTGTGATAATTAACGCTATGTGGGAGGAGTGATGCTGAGGGACGGAGGGAGATAGCATCGTTTACTGACTGTGTGGCCACCTGTTATTGTCTGCATTCACCATACCACCTCAGTGGTTCTCTATGGTGAACACAAATGTAGATACTTATATATAATGTGTGTATTAGTGTAATAACAGCAAAAGGATTATGTTGGGAGGAGCCATTTGGGTGATGGAGGTGGCGTCATCTGCATGACTTGTCTAGCTGTGTAGAGTGTGGCCACTATGCTCTTTGGGCACCTTACAAGCTTAGGTGTACAGTTACGTTGCATACAACATGTAGATACTTATAATGTGTGTATATAGTGTAATAACACCACAAACAGTATTGTTGGGGGAGAAATTTTAGTGCGCCTGACCTTGAATGAGTGAGGTAGCCAGCTGACTGTGTATGTAGCGATGTCTCTTAATGCCTGAACTAACTATATCAGCTTAGTTGTACAGTTGTGGTGAACAAAGCATGTAGATACTTGTATATAATGTGTGTATATAGTGTAATAACAACAAAACTATTTGTTTATTGTTTTATGAACATAATAATTGAATCACTAATATGAACACCATACTTTTGAGTATAGCGATGATTCACACATTTTATTATATAAATCTATCACACTACACACTATTGAATAATATTACTACAAAAAAACTAAGAAAAAATCAATGGGAGACATTGAAATAATTAGGTAATAATATCTTTGTGGCAACTCCCACCTGACAGCGTATGTTACGCTGACCGCCTCTGATGACTACTGTCAATGCCCACATTTGGCCAGACTTCCTCGGCCTATTGCGCCCAAAATATGTCGCCTACAATTTTTTCCCCGTGCTCAGGGAACACAAAATAAAAATTTTAGAAAATGAAAAAAAAATTTAGAATTTTTTTTTCTTGCGCACATCGGTATAAATCTCCTCAGGACCCCGTAGCACTTTAAGGGTTAAATGCAGTGAATTTCAGTACTTGCATTCACAGCATACAAATGCAATGTATTGAGCGAGAGGATTAGTTGCATTATCTGAATAATTTTGTATTACTGTTTTAATCATTTACATGCTGAAAATTTCAATTGAAAATTTTTGGGAAATTAATAAAATCATAATGTTCTCACGTCTTTACTTTAGTATATAAAGCTCATTATTCATCTCTTCATACCTACTACATCCTGGCTAAGTTTATCTTGCATTCCTTCCTAAAATATCTTTGCTTAACTCTTTGTAATGACTATCGAGTGTTTGCATTCTTAAAGCATTTAGTGTTGTCGTTTGAAGTTGGTTTATTACTTGCCTTCCTAGGTATGATTTCTTCTCTCCCTCTTCCATTTTCTAACCAAAATAAGATTATGCTTTGAGTGAATGTCTTCTCTTGAGGAATTTAACGTTGACGTTGAAATCGTGCATTGGTAGATGACGTCGTCTGTAACAAAATGTATGTACAAACTTGATACAATGATTGAATGGGTGCTGTGTTTGTTAACTGTGTTATTGCTTACTTTGTATGGCTTTGTGTGATTTGCAGAATGCCCATTTTATAAACAAAGTGCATATTATACAAGAATTTTAGTGCATTCTAATAAGGCTTATAAATGATGTAGTTAGTAGACATATAATGCTTTTGTAGTGCAGTATTATTTAATTGTAACATATATGAGACTTTGTGCAGATGGAGTGTGTGTGTGTAAACCATCAAAGTATTATATTGAGCTCTCAGTTTTCACAATAATTTCCTTCCTTCATGCCGCACAGAGAATACCTGGATGACCCCAGACTGTACGGGTAAGTGCCACTAATTTCCATGCGCGCTAGTCCCGGAGCGCTACACGATGTCACCCGCCATTCAGGCATTTAAGTTTTCTGTTTCCTTTTCTGCCTAGGAACATGTTCGGCAACTAACTATTTTTGTATTGTAAATTTGATGAGATTATTCATAAACAAAGTAAAGAGGAGTAGGAGTCCACTTGTATGTCACTCAGAAGTACATTTGGCTCATGATCCTTTACTTTATTTGCAGTAACTTCCATGCTGTCACGAGCAGCAATCACCTGTGAGTACTGTTGTCGGGTTATCCCCACCCACTTGTCACTGTCCTGTCGTGGCGCGCTCCCTTACTAGCCGCCATCTCCTTCACTGGGGTTCCCCATTTTGCTCAGTCCACTGCTAATGCACTTCAGTGATAGCCACACCACATTATGATTGAAAGTTCAAGCTTTACAACATTAGACTTTAAGCTTGTGTTAGGTTTTTTAAAAGGATTCTACAGTATAGCTAAATTCTTAAACTGGAAAAAAAAATTGTGTACGATATTTTAAATTCAAATTTGTAGTAGTGGTTTCTCCAGGTATAATACCATTTACTGTACAGAATACCAATTTTAATATTGAATGTGAAAGTTAAAAGTATGACTTTGGTGCTGGATATTAGGAAACTATTCATGTATTTTTTTTTATTAGGCTAATGCAAAGAAAAAAGTGTCCACATAAAGGACATAAACTTGAGAAAAATCATTTGACAAGAAAAACCTCCACGAACACATTTTGAAAGACTGAAGATCAAAGGTGTTCATTGATGTACATGCATTATTTTAGTGGCCTGTCTTATAAGTTTAGATTGGTAAATAGGTAAAATATAATGTTGTTGAGAAGCAATATTTTATATAAATTTGTATATATGAAGTTATAGACAAAATTTATACTTTGCAATTTATATATAAAATATTTATTTTTATATTATAAATTAATATATATATATATATATATATATATATATATATATATATATATATATATATATATATATATATATATATATATATATATTACTGTAATTATTTATTCATTTTCCCTCTTAAAATTCTGAAAATAAAATAGAAAAGGTGCAAAGACATGCTACTAAATGGTTTCAAGGCATATTAAAACAAGAGCTATAAGGAAACATTTGAAGTACTGTATTACAAATCGAAATGTGAGTAGATGGAAGGAAAATAGGCGATATGATCAACCCATAAATTGCATGAGGATTGTACAGTGTTAGGGAGGCACTATTATAACCCACGTCTAGAATAAGGGAGCCACAAACTCCAGCAAGGAAAGCAAAGGGACCAAAAAAAAGAGGTTAGAAATTGTTCTAACAATTTCAATTTTAATAGTTTCAAAAGTCAGATTAAAGGGAACGCATGATACAATAAGCTTAGCTCTCGTCCTGTAATTTGGGTAATTGCACATGAACACATGGACAAGTATATTTATGTAGTAAAATACTTGCCAATAGCTGTACTGTACAGTACATTACTTTTCAGCGTATACATTCTTGAGTTTACTCTAGTTCTGACCTATAATACAAAACTAGACATACTAGTTACTTAAGTTCTAGTGGTAGCCTTAATTAGTCCCTCTATCTATAAAGCCAACAAACTTTGTAAAATCTCTTTATGTATGTACCTTTACCTAAATAAAAATTATTATTATTATTATTATTATTATTATTAGTCTGGGGCTTCAGTCAATGGAGTCCTGCCTACCAAAGACCAGAGCTGGAACTTGGCCTTCCTCAGAGGCACAGGGAACAATGGCTTAAGGAGACCCCCCCCTTATATTTGGGGGTATTCCTCGTCTGCAATCGACCGAGGTTAGGCACCCAGAAACGTAGGCATCTCAAAACAAACCCCACAAGGTAGAAATTGTAAAAACCCCAAGATTGAACAGAGAAATAGAACTCCCCAAAAGAAAAAGAAAACCAGCAAACAAGCCATTGTCATTCACCGCCACCGCACAGCCTCCCCTCCCCAGGAGAGGGAGGGGGATAGCCCCGGACCCACGCGCAGGCCCCTCATATCAGTTCAGGGCTGAAGTGCTCCTGAGGGGGGGGGGGGGGGCATCGATTCTGGCCTCGGTTTTCTTGCTGGATTTCGTGCCCTTGTGGTGTTTTCCTGCTGTTTGTGTCACGGTAGCTAGGAGTCATATACAGTACTAAGGTCTGCATGCACTTAGGGCTTCTTCCCTAAGTGCATGCATGTCTTCTTCCCTTGTGAGTACTACCCTTGGGTTCTAGGTTATCCTTTGTAGACTGTACAGTTGGGTTCATTCTTGACTAACAAGAATGTTCTCGAGGCTTTGTCAGTGACCGGGCCATGGGAACGTTGATCCTTGGAACCATCACATGGTAGCCACAATTGAGAATTCCAGGTTTGAAACCTGGTGGGGAAACAAAAATGGTTGGGACTTTCCTATCACCTAGTACACCTGTTCACCTAGCAGTAAATAGGTACCCGGGAGTTAGTCAGCTTATCGTGAGGTTGTATCCTGGTGAGGATCAGTATTTCAACCTTGGAGGGGAGGGGAGGGGGGCCTCAATATAAGCCTAAGATATATATATATATATATTTATATACACATTGGCTTCCTGTCCCCCAATGCAATGAATTATAATTATTATGAAATACAATATAGTATACTACATGTAAAAATGCTAATGAACAAATGGAAAGGATAATTACTGTATTGGAATTTTTTTTTCTGTTATGGCTTAATTTCTTCTAGATTTTGTTGGTGATATTTTGGTGGATATATGAGCATGTTTTCTCTACTTGGAGGTATTTATATCACAGTATCATTAATTATCCTCCTCGTACAGTTTCTAGGCTTGTTATAAGTGCTGTGTTTCCCTCTACTGTCTGCTTTAATATCTTTGTCAAAGTACTGTACATTTTCTTTGCAGACTTCCATACAAGCATGAAATGCTTCCTTTTAAATTTAAGCATTTTCAATTTTACTCTAAAATTAGCCTTGCTTCCATTTCTTTTTTTATATATTAAAGTATGGTTGTAGTTTGCTGCATTCAGAAACAATATTTACATGTATTGTTCAATGTATCATACTGTAATTTTAAAAGTTATCAGACTTTTTGCTCACCATTCACTTTGCATCATAATTATATATCAATTTCTTGGTCACAAATGCCCGTCCTACACTTAAATATCTGTGCACAAGTCCTGTTACCACCTGCCTCACTTTGTGTTACTCTTTATTGTATTCCCTTATTATTGCAAGACTTCTATCTAGTATACACGTGTGTGTTATACAGATTTATGTTTTGGGAGGGCCCTCTTGGTAGCTTCCCAAGCTAAATACTGGTACAGTACATCCATGCTTTAGGAAGATGCACCAAGCCTTCGAGACACACACACTTGCCTTTCAGGCACCAGGAGTGTAACGTGGTTCTATATGAGGCAACACATTTTTGTATGAGAAATATTGCTGGAAAAAAAGTGGAAATCTTCAAGAAAAAGCTGGAGACTTTTCTGCAAGAAGTGCTGGACCAACCAGGCTCTAGTGGATATATAGGCCTGCAGGCTGTTCCAAGCAACAGCCTGTTGGGTTAAGCTCTCGCAGGTCATGCCTGGCCCCTGGCTGGGCGAGGCTTGGATGTATCTGGATGAGGTTCTGGGAAGAACACCCAGAACCTCATCCAGGTACAATCCAAGAACAGGTGCTTGGAGATCAGAGATCAACCCAAACTCAAGAAAAACCTACCAGCAAGCAGAACTGCAACATAGCAAACAATGGTTGAAGAAAATTCAATACCACAAGATAACAAGGCAAACAGGACTTACCATGGGGTAAATACCACAACTCTGATGCACCTGACTGCTACCAGGTGGCAGTTCCAGCCAGCCTCCCTTCGTTTACTTATATTTTGAAGATTCCAAGATTAACGTCCCCGTGGCCTGGTCTCCGATCAGGTCTCTTAGTTGGTGATCTGATTAACCGGGCTGTTTGAAGCAGCTGTTCACAACCTGATGTATGAATAACAACCTGGTTGATCAGGTAATGACACTGTTGGCCTTGTTATTCAGGATGCTAATTTGTTTGAAGAACAAATCCACAAGAGCCGGGACGAGGATTCGAACCTGCGTCCGAGAGCATCCCAGACGCTGCCTTAATGGACTGAGCTGCGACATGGTCAAAAGGATTTGTCCCTTGTGGATTTGTTCGTTTGATGCATCACCCAACTGTGATTTCTGTGTGTGTGTTGTTTGAAGAGTTGTTTGTTTTTCCACTTCGGCTTTCTGGTGGGCTTTCATGGTTTATACTGGATCAAATCCCCATGCACCCCTTGCCTCATAGTGCTAAACTGGTCATGGTTTCCCAGTCGGTAAGTGTCTCTCTCAAGACTTAGTGTATCTTAAAGCTCTACCAGTGCTTAGCTCTGGGAGATACTGATCCTTCAAAAATGGGCGTATAATTACATTCAATTCTTGAATAATATGGCTTTTACCTGTATAGTGGTCCTCAGTTCCAGTGGGATTGCATTCCTGGAAAACTTGTGCATAGCCTGATCTGCATAATTCAAACATAAAATATATGGGTAAAAACAGGATTACATTGCAGAGCTTCAAAAGTTCACATTTTTTCATTAACTTTAATGCTGCAAAATTTGTTTGGCACATACCTTTCATGTTTTTTTTGTTTTTTTTTGACAAAAAATAAATTGTTCTAATGAACAAATATGCACAAAATGTGATTTGCTTTAGTTTGATTATAGCATATTAAAAAAAATCATATAATAAATACATTAACATAAAATTAGTTGTAATGATGTTAGTGTGGGCAAGTGAAAGAGGGAATTTGCATCCACAGTCTGCCAATAGAAAAATTAAGCTGCTAAATGTGGGCGCAAGCCCTATGGAGCTCATCTTTTCTGCTATTCAATCTTTTGAGGTTTACCATTTCCACAAGTTCATTTGGTGAAAATTTTCATCATTACAGAAAACTAAATTA